TGCTACTTGATTTATTTTCTGTTGAATCTAGACTGCTTCATTATATCCCCCCCCCTTTTTTTTTTTTTTTTCTGTCTTGTTTGCAGGTTTAGAGCTTGGAGGGTGTTTCAGTTGCTTTTTGTTATTCTCCAGTCAAAGAAAAAAGAGAAGCAGTGGAGTAAATTGGTTATGAAGTGCTTTAACGCCATGTTCAGTGAGCTGGAGACAGGCAAAGGCCAGGCTGGCAGGGGCTGAGGAGGATTGGCATACACGAGGGTATTTAACAGGGAGAGGCAGGCAATGTGGTAGTGGTTTGACTTTGTGTGGAACATAAATCAAGCTAAGCGCATAGCCCTGGCAATATCTAAAGCAAGGGACCAAGTTCAGCGCTCTTCCTGTGCTCAGGGTGACTTTTGAGAGGGCAGTGTTGAAATGTAGATAAGATTTTAAAGGATGTGCTTTGATACTACCCATTTTTTTTCTATGCTGTTTGTAGCATTTAAAATCTATGTACTTGCAATTCCCCAGTCTCACCGGCTGTGCATGCCTGGTGCTGGCCAGTATTGTCACACTAGTCTTTGAGAAGGATCAGATACAGTGTGTTGTTCTGACCCAGTGTGGGATGGAGATGGCAAAACAACCTCCTCTCCCTCTCTCAGCTTCTGGGAGGTGCCAGGCAGCTTCAAAGTGAACTGGCACTTCTGTTAGTTGGATCTGAGCTGTGATGAGTTCAAGCAAGTTTATTTCAAGGCTGCTTGGCTTTGTAAGCAGAAAACTGCTCAGTCTTTGTCTCTCCTGGTTCTCCTCCTCCTTTCCCTTTGCTGATTTCCTTCACAGCTCTCGTTTTCTTCCTTTGGACTGCAGTATGTCATTCCTCATGCAGTTCAACAAAAAGATGCTCAAAATCCTGCACATGGGGAGGAGCAACCCCATGCCCTAGTATATTCTGGGGGCTGACAGGCTGGAAAGCAGCTTGGCAGAAAAGGACCTGGGGGCATCCTGGTGGACACAGTGTCCTGGGATGCACTGGGAGGAGTGTTGCCAGCAGGTCGAGGGGGGTGATCCTTCCCCTCTGCTCAGCACTGGTGAGGCCACACCTGGAGTACTGTGTACAGTTCTGGGCTGTTCGCTACTAGAGAGACATGGACATACTGGAGAGACAAAGGGCCACTAAGATAACGGGAGAAACTAGAACATCTCTCCTATGAGGAAAAGCTGAGAGAATTGGGACAGTTCAGCCTGGAGAAAACTCAGGGAAAACTTATCACTGTATGTAAATAACTGAAAGGAAGGTGCAGAGAAGATGGAGCCAGGTTCTTTTCAGTAGGGTTTAGTGACAAGACAAGAGACAGTGGGCCTGAAACATGGGAGGCTCCAACTGAATGTGAGGAACACTTTCTTACTGTGAGGGTGACTGAGCACTGGCACAGGTTGCCCAGAGAGATGGTGGAGTCTCTATGCCTGGAGATACTAAAAAGCCATCTGGACATGGGCTTGGGCAGCCAGCTTTAGGTGGCCCCGCTTGAGCAGGGGCATTGGATGAGATGACCCCCAGAGGTCCCTTCCAACCTCAATCATTTGTGGTTCTGTGATTCTCACACTAGCTTTGAAAGCACCCTTTGTTCCCTTCTCTTGTTTTGTATGCTGAATGGCACCCCAAGACCTCACCCGGGTTGAGGTGCTGGGTGCCCACTTTCCTTGGCTTCTGGTTTTCTACCTGTAAAAGGGAGATAAGACCTCCTACCTCCCTCAGTTAATTAGTTAATGAATATTTCTTTCACACTTTGAAAAGAAGATGGGAGAAATACTTATCAAAATGCAAAAGACCATCAATGAATGACATTAGAAACAGTCCAATGGTAATATAACTTATATTTATGTGTGTGAAAAATAAGGTCACACTTACCTGTTTTATCTTGCTTGGAACACTGGTTTTGGGTTCAAAATGACTGCAGTTTACTTTCTGTCAAAGTAGATGTGGAAGGAAAATCCACAACCTGAAAACCCTTAACATAAATTTTATAATCTTAAATTCTAATAATTTTGCATTTACCCAAACTGAATGATGACTTCAAGCTTCAGAGCTGAACATTCTCATGACAGGGCATGCAAACCCTGTACTTAAGAGCACAGAGCTGACAAGGTAATTCAACACTGTCTTGCTAAACATGCCAGAAGGGCTGAAAAAGCCCAGCTCAGTTAGGATAGACAGTAAGCTGCAGAAACTGATATTAATGGACTGTTAATATCTGGTTGAACTCCCCTTGCCAGGGAAGATGGGCCAGATGCTGTATTGTTCTTTGCTTTGTTACTAGTTAGTACTGTGTAAGCTTGCTGCTTGTGGTGTCCTCCTTGAGAAGAGATCTCTATGTATCTGGTTGGAGAACAGTGCTGGTCTGTGTTGAGCCCCACCTGGTCATGAGTCAGTTCAGGCTGCCTCCTGGCTTCCTCCAAAATACTAGATGGATATGAGACATTTTGACTGTTTTTCCTGTGGATAAAGACACAGCTTTGCTCCTGCTGGTTAATGGCGTGTGTTTGTGGAGCGACTATCTTCTGGTGACTGCCAGACTAGAAACGACTGGAGTGCAAACTGGCTGATTTCTTATTTCATGGCTGTGGACTATTTTATGCAGCTTTGTACTGTGAAATATGGGAAACCAAGCTTAGCCAAAAGTGAGTTCTCAGCAGACGCTTGCTGTCATACAAATTAGCCACAGCTTTTGCATCTTGGAGTGCTGCCAGCAGAGGGCTAGCTATTGCATTAAATGTCTTCTACCAGTCATGATCTAAACTGAAAGCAAGAAGATTAATTGCTTTTCTAGTATTATTTTAGCAGTTAGCACTTTTTGTGACATTAAACATGTTTTTTGTCTTTAAAACCAAACCAGAAAATACTGCTCTGAGTTTCAAATCAATGAGTGTACAAGAAGAACTGGAAAAGGTTTAATTTAGTGAGAGAAATTATCATGCATGTATAAGAATTATCTTGCTTTAACATAGAAAGGAAGAGTAATTTTGTTAGTGCTGCCAATCTGGTATGTAACAATGAATACCTTCAAAGTTTGAATAAATATATGATTTAAAGAGTGGATATAATTGATTTTTGCTATTAGTGGATAGAAAGTAATAGCATCCAATAAACATCTTTCACTTTACCTCAACCAAGATTTTTAATACATAATTGTACTAATGTAGTTTGACTAATGAAACATAGCACCTTTTCCTTGCCTAAAAGTATTTCCCTCTGAAATTTTCCTGAGTTGCAGAGTTCTTAAGAAGTAAATCACCTGAACATGAAGAACTGGAATTTAGGAAACTCATACTTTAGTAAGTTCCTGAGGATATACGGTCGCTTTCAGTCATTGGTGTCCATTATGTCTGAGGGATTTGACACCAGAAAGGCTGTTTTGAATTCAGTTGGTAACCTTGACCGTTCACACCAAATGCTGCTGACTTCTGTTTGTTCTGCTCTCTGTAATCTTTCTTAGCCAAGCTTGGTATCATCGAGGCTTTCATTTCTTGAGTTACCGAATGATGGCTAAAACCACTAGATCAAAGTAATGTTTATGTCTCTTTTAGAGGTTTAGCCTTCCTGGTTGAGGAGGAAAATAAGAAATTTAACACGGGCTCCCCAGACGACAAATGAAAAATTCTGAAAAAAAAAATAATATCTGTTTAATTAGTTTCAAGATTTTGCAGGGGAGGAGATACGAACATCTTGCTGGCAATTTTTAGGAGTTCTGCTACAGGTAGTGTTGTCCCTGTTGTGCAAGAGCACTTTCTGGAGGAGGAATACAAAAGTCAGCAGCAGATGCCATTTACTGCCCGCTTGAGCGTTGGAGTGCTTGTGAGTGCCTGCTGTGACCAGTAGATGACTGCTGACCCATTAGCCCTCCCTCTGAGAACAGCTGCCCATGCTCTGGTGCAGCTCTTGTTTCTAGAGGAGACACAGTGTTATGTTTATGCTTCTTACAGGGCTTCTGCAGGGGTTTCCTCTTGATTTTCTTGTAGCATTTACTCTTTGGTGTGTAGAGTTCAAAAAAGCCCTTTCTTCCAATGGCTACAGTGGTGATTTTCTGTTTCCCTTCTGCAAGGGAATCTGAAATGCAAAGGCCAAATAGTAATGTGTACTTGCCTAGAAATAGTATGCCGAGTTTGTAACTACTGGAGAAAATAATTTGGCACATAGTTATTTCCGTGTACCTCCCTAACACCAAGAACAATCAGGCACCAGCTGAAGACAGTGACTGCCAAAAGCGCATTTGGATGAGGTGGGTGTTTCTGGGTGGTACAGTCATGCGTTAACAAGTGTGACTGCATCACTAACACAAAAGTATATTTGTATCCCCAAGTCCTTTGTAGGAATATGCCATCTTCAAGAGGAAAGGACACCAGTAAAGCATCTGGCAGGGAGGAAAGGCAAAGAAATGAGTACAGGATAATGAGGTGTATTTAACTGCTTGCTGTTAGCAAAAACCATCCACCTGAACTGGATATAGTATTCCCAGCTGCTTCAGGAATCATTCTCTGTGAAAGCTGAAGTGAGAGCAGGTCAGCTGCTCAGATACAGTTCTCTGGGTGTTAGAAGAAATCTAAACTGATGGGTGGGCAGCAAACAGCAACAGGGAGGGCAGCAGCAGCAGGGATGGGGATCCAGGAAGCTTTGTGCAAACCCTAGAGGAGATGTAAAGCTTTTTCCTGAAATACACACACAAAGTCTTCTGGTAGAGATAGGAAACCAGACATAATTTTTTCTATTTGCTGAAACTGAACTCTCACAAGGTACAGAGCTACTTGCAAAAAAAATCTTAGCTCCAGTGCATAAAAACTTGCTCCTTGAGTCCAGTGCTAAGCTCCAGTGGATGCCTGTGTACTTCATGGGAAAGGGAAAGCAGCATTCCACAGAAATCTTAACCTTTATGCATTATGAAAGAGGAACTCACGTTTTTTCTTAACATATCACATGCATGGATAAATGCTAGAGATGAAATGGTGCTGTGTGAGGTTGTGTGATAAAGTGTTCGGCACAGTGGATTCTGTTAGAGAATGAGTGATGAGTTGCAGTCAGACACCAAGAAATGATGGTCCACAAGCCGCAAGTGCTTTTAATAGGATAACTACCCACTCGTTTGCTTAGATTTCTTGTAGTTGCATCTTCCACCACTGGGGTGTTGAAGGGTGAGCAGATACAGCTCAGTGAAAATGATACAAAAGAAACCACCCTGCATCTTGAGAAATGTTTAGCATCTTAATTAGATTCAGAGTATAATACTGTTAACAGTGCATAAATGAAAGATATTTTCTGTTTATCTACATATTGCTCCATTCTTTGAGCTTTATCTGTTATTATTTAAATATGAGTATTTTAAGTATCTTTTCTCCTCAAAAGCAACCTCTATTTTTTTCTTCCAATTTGATTTCACAAGATATTGTCAAACTTCTTATGTGTAGGAGGATAAACAATATACTCTACCCTCCAGCAGTCATAAAGGGAGAAGCAGGGGGAGAGGAAGTCCTGCCCCTAGATATCCAATGTTATGACTCAGTCCTCAGGAAACGTGGGAAACAGAGGTCTTCAATCTTAAATGTTTCAGTGGGGTTTTCTTTGCTGACTTCTGCTAATCTGCTAATCCTTTTAGAAAGCTGAATTCCATGGCTCTTTCTGGAGACAGTAGAGCACGGCTGATGTATAAAGCAGTTTTTTCTTTCAGCATAATGCAGCCATTACCAAGGTCATGGAGGCTGCAGAGGCTGTGCTCTGACTGCAATGGTAGTAAAGTGCGCTAGCATGCACTGAGCATGAGCCAGATTCCATTCTGTCGCATCCTAGTATCTTCACATTTAGCTGTGCTACTGCTGTGCTAGAGCTACACGGCATGACAAGTGAGCTTTCCATTAGATTCCTGACGGGTTAAAATCAACTGTAAAGCAAATGCACCATTTCTAGTACTTCTGAACAGCATCTCATTTGGACCTTGATATGAAAGCAGAATACGGTAAGTTGCAAGTGACAGAAACAAATTAGTTCAGTATCTCAGGTTTCAAACCTTGTCATCTTGCAAGAAATACCTCTGACAGATGTTGTGTCAGCTGGTAGCTAGTGGGCAAAATACAAAAATTATTAAACTCCAGAGTTTGTAATACAGGGGAGGGAAGAGGGGGAGGGAGAAACGACAGTGATGGCTTCTTTATGGGTTTTCTTCTCTAATGCAAACTGCTGAAAGTCGCTTGGAAGAACAACTTCAAAGAGCAGTGATACCTTTCCCAAACTAAGGATGTGCTCTGTGGTCTCACATCTCAGCTTTTTTTGTGATGTGCCTAAGCTGCTGGCCCATGTGCCAAATCAGAGCACCTTTGCAAGAGAATGCTGCTGCTGACAGTGGGGTTTGTAGTTCCTATAAGGAGCCTCAGGTCCCTATTCTTTCCAGAGAGCACAGAATGTCTGGCAGTGAATACAAAGCCAGGGTCTTAGTAACACAGCCTGAATCTGTTTGTCCTGAAAAGTGCAAAACCTGTCCCTGGGTTCTGGTTGGGTTTTAGTGACTCATCTGCACTCGGGTGTAAATGCCACTGCTCTGTTAGTACCCTCAGCTGTTGGCAAACTTGCACCGCTGGTTTTGAGGCAAGGGCTGTTCTTGCACTCATTAATGCTGAGGCATGGCATCTGGGGCATGTAAATCAAGATTGGTCAAGGTGCCATCTTTGAGGCCTATATGCAGCCCACAAGGGGATTTATTCGTTGTGGTTATCTTTGACTGAACCAGCTGGCCAGGGCTGGCTGGAGTGCCTTTTAGCTCTGGTGGGACCGGGGGCATGGACTAGATGATCTGGGGGAAGGAGGGCTTTAGAGGTGCCAGCTAGTGAGCACCCCACAGGATTCTCTGCCCAGTTGTGCACTACATACTGAGGTTGCTCGCCCTGCCCTCCTGGAGAAGCTGCTGCACCACATTTTCCAGAGACCCACGCTTCCAGAACCATGGTCGGTCTCTCCTTTCTCACATGCTTGGAAAGATGGTGCACAGCCCTAGTGCTTGAGGCTGTTGAGAAAAGACTCAGGGGACATCAGGCTTCTGGGGGTGGAGGGCTGAACATGCCGAGCTGGAGCGGTCAGCCTGAGTTCGTCATTAGGTGGCCCTCAACCAAACCTCACTAAGCCTCCCACCATCAGCAGTGCTCTGGGAGTCCTGGCACAAACTGTGTGTCTGGGTTTGGTGCTGAAAGTCATAGGGGCTGTACCTAGCCAGGTGTGTGAGCTAGGGATGAGGACATGAAGAAGGGACTGTCTCATGTTTATCTCACCTCTAACATCTCCATAACGAGCACCAGCTGCTCTTTATGAACTCACCCTCCCCAGTCCCTGCTGAAATGGTGTCTCAGAGCACCTGGCACTTTGTCTACCCAGCTCATTGGAGGTGCCCCAACTGTCTGTCTGTTTCCCTTGGGGCTATGCCCATGTCTGTTGTGGGTGCCCAGTGGCAGAGGGCTCGTAACACTGGCTTGTTATGAAACTGGTAACCCATGAAAGCACCTTGCCTGTTGCTGGCGTGCTGTGAGGGTGTAACACCGGGAAATCCTTCATCTACAGGAGGAGGCAGGGCTGCAGCTGCACTCAGCTAATCAACATAGGATGATGCTAGATACGTTTAAAGCTAGTGCCCTTCACTGGGAATGGCTTGGCTTCGTGCTGTGAGCCTGTGCCAAACTAATAAAATCATGCTTAATTCCAAGGTGTATTTTCTATCTTCTTACAGTTAGTGTTTAAAACCTGTGTGTTGTTTTGCTTAAAATTTCATTGATGATGGAGGGTTACCTTTTTAAAAAAAATTTGTTTCTTTGTCTACTTCAAGTAGATAGTTCCTTCATATTTAAGGTAATACCTTATGCTTCAAGCTAGGCAGCTGTGCAAATCCCAACCGGATCAGAGCCACAATATGCTACCTCTTTTTCCGGAGCAAAACTGATCCCAGATGATCCATCTCTTTAAAACTTGGGCAATTTATGCTCCCAGTACTACTGATACAAAAAAGTCATAATGTAAATGCAGAGTCTTGGTGATTTTCCTTAAATACAACAAATGCCATCTCAGTTACATAAATTTATACAGGTTAAAAAACAATGAGTATGTTCTCCTTATAGGAACAAAAGCTCTTAAAGATATTGCCTACACCTCACAAGCTTCTGGAAGGCTTTCTTGAAATCTTCATTAAAAATTGTGTAGATTAGAGGGTTAACAAGGGAATTTATATATCCCAGCCATGCTAGGAAATTAGACATGTCTTCTGAGATGTGACATCTTTCACAGGTATTAACAACTACTTCTTTTACAAAAAAAGGAAGCCAGCAGATCACAAATGCCCCCAAGATCAGACCCAGCGTAGTTGCTGCCTTTCGCTCTCTTGTGCTAGAGATTCTCTGTTTTTTCCAGGACTTCTCGTGCTTTGATTCAGACCTGGGGCTTCGTAGGGTGATATTGATTTTATCACAGTTCACCAGGGGATCTGATGTCTTCTCTGTTGTGCTGGGCATTGAAGCCGATTTGGTGCTTCTTTCACCTGCGTCCAAAAGGACTTGTCCGTTTACCTCCTCCCTTACAATCCGGCTGATGCTTCTTCTGTGAAATGTCTTTGCTGCCTTGTATATCTTGTAATAAAGGATCAGAATCAAGGCCAATGGGATATAGAAGGCGCCAAATGTAGAGTAAATGGTGAAAACAATGTGGTCGTGTTTGATGATGCATTCATCATCCCTGCTGGTCGTCTGGTGCCGCCAAAACAAAGGCGGCATGGAGATGAAAATGGATATGATCCATACCACGGCAATCATGATGCCAGCATGCTTAGGTGTCCTTTTCCGTGCATATTCCACAGCATCCGTGATTGCTCTGTACCGGTCCAAAGCAATGGCAGAGAGATGCAAGATGGAACATGTGCAGCACGTAATGTCCACGCTCAGCCAAATGTCACACACCACTTGTCCCATGATCCAGGTCTCCTTTACAATGTAGACAATGCTGAAGGGCATCACTAGTACTGCCACAAGGAAATCAGTCACTGCAAGAGAGCAGATTAGATAGTTGGCCGGGTGGTGGAGCTTTCTTGTCACAATTATTGCAGTCATTACGAGTGAATTGATAGCGGTTGTCATTAGTGCAAGCACAGACAGGGTAATGGAAATGAGAATCTTGGATGTCACCCATTTGAATAGTTCTTCTGATGTACTGTTTTGTTCAGTTGAGTTTATTAAATCCATGTTCCCTTTTAAAGGTGATCTTTATCGGTAGCTGTTACCTGTTGGAAAAGTAAAAACATTCAGAAAGTACATCTTTAGTCTCCAGGAAGTCTTGATTTTTGTCATCTTAAAAGACCCAAACTTGCCAGAACCTCAGATTTATCATTAGAAATTATTCTGGCTCCAAACAGATTTTCCTGCCTAGCACTACATGGGGACACTCTGCCTCCAGAACAGGGCCCTCCTCCTTCTCCTTGGGTGTGCTGCTGCTAAGGGCATAGCAGAGGAAAGGCACATGCTGTGTCATCTGAGATGGCGTTGCCCTGCGAGATGCTGTACATCGCTGCATAGGGGAGCCAACCTTATTCCTTGAGCAGGGCAGTGGCATCAGTGCGGCCCCTGGGGTTCAGAGCCAGCCCTCCTGCTACTTACTTATTCTCAATGGATTGTAGTGGAGCCTTGAAACTGGCAAATGCGAACAATCTCATCCTAAAGTACATACTAATACTGCTTTTAGGCTAGCACTGTGTACTCCACTAAGCAATGTAATCTTTAATCCACAGGAAGCAGGCATAATGCTTCTTTTCTCTATGTAAACTTTTTCCCCATCAGTATATGACTCCTTCCTTGTGTATCGATAAACATGGGCTTTCTAAACTGGGACATAGTTTTTAAGAGAAAACAGAAATGTGAAACATTGCAGTAGACAGGAGAAGAAACAATTGCGTGTTGAAAGTTTCATTTTAGAGCTTCCTCTTATGCAACTCTAAAATGAAACAGCTGAATGTATTTTAAATCTACAAATGGTTGAATTACTGTCTAACTGAATTATTATACATATATTAGAGCCTTGGGAACATCATTACTTTTCCTCAAGTTTTGCTATTCTTTGGTTGCTGCTGAAGAAAACTGCAGAAAACTTGGATGCTAGCTGGTTCTGCTGATGACTTTCTCTATGGAAACAGTGTAAATGCTCTTATGGCTCTGCAGGAAGCAAAAATCAGGGAAATACTGATGAAATAAATTCTCAGTTATGTTCTGGGGAAGTGCACCTTACTTTCTTATCAAGAGGGGTTTCTGAGCACTCTACAGACTGCAGCTGAAGTAGGAGTTTCCAGCTTTTTAGACTATGGTTTGTAACTCACAGTAAGTGGATCGCATTTCATCCTCTTGTGAGCTTTGACTTGCAATTTTTTGTGTGTGTAAGATCTACCTGATGAACCCCTAAGTGGGGTTTGATATGACGAATTTTAGAGTGTAGTCAGTCAACTGCACTTGTGTTGCATTGGATGCCACATGTAGAGAAGTACATGAAATAAGTGAATAATTAGGAAAAATGGGTCTCATTAACATAACCGAAGGGTTTTGATATTATGCTGGACTGGCTGAAAAAGAATCTCATATACTGTTTATAATTTTGGAGCCAGCTCACCAATTTGGTTTGATTTTCTAACCCGGACAATGCCTAATATTCTGTTGAACCAATTCGAAAAGGTTTTTGACATTGCTTGACCTACATTTAATTGTATGGAAGAACAAGGAAAGGAAATCTATTTCACATTTCGATATGTACAAATGCCAAGCAGAATCTTGTCCTGTATATGAGCTGATTACAGCATGCATGTGCTCTCTCTCTCTCTCTCTCTGAACTTGAAATATACTTCACACCCATAAAAATAGAGCTTTCATCATGTCAGCGTCACCTTAAAACCTTCTGAATCCACGGTAATTGCTAGTTCGCAGATATTTTTGTCTATAGCTAGCTGCCTTCCAGAGAAAGAATAGGCATATATAGTATTATCTGGTAAATGTTCAACCTCTACTAAATAGATCTTCGTTTTTGAGCTTGTATAAATACATGTGAAAAAAAGTTTATTGGGAAAAACTAAGACTTCTGTTGATATCTAGCAGTTGATCATATTTTAGAACAGTTACTCATTATGGTTAATTACCTTATAAATCTCTAACTCTTTGCATATTAATCCTTAATTGCAAGCAAGCAAAAAGCAATTTAGAGGTAATGAAAACTGATTAATAGCTTTTGAAAGATTATTCAGTTTGAGACTGTGGAGTAAGGAAAACAGTATGGGTGGGTTCACAAAAGTGCTGTATAGGAATAAGTAGGTTTCCTTAGTACTGCAGTCATTTGGAGGCTCTTTGTAAGAAGCAGTGTCAGAAAAGTGCTTACTTGCCACGTGCAGTGATTATGCTTCTCTGTGTGGTTTAAAAATTATCAGATGGTACACTCAGATTTCATTCAGGCTGCTAATGTGGAAATACAGCAGTCTTGAAGACGACCACACCGAGTTTTTAGTGTACTACTGTTAGATAATTATGCTGGGGTCTTCTGTTCACAGGACATAACCTATTCTTTAATGGCACCCATCTGGACATATGCACTCCCGTTCCTATGTGAAGTGGTAAGATCCTCTGCTGTTGCCGTCACAGCCCTGGCAGCTGGTGCCCAGGGTGGTCCCCGTGGGCTGCTCTGCAGAGCAAAGAGGGACTCCATCCAAGAGAGACAGTGGTACAGTGACAAGATTTGCCCTCTAGGGTTGTGGCTTCCTTTGAGGTTGCAGAGCCATTCAGTGGGCTGTGCTGTTTGGGATTGCCAGTCACAAAGTTTGGTGGCTTTCCTGTCCGAGCGGGATGGGGATCCTCTGCTAACTGTGGTGGGAAGTCACGCAAGGTTATTGGGTGATCATTAGCTAAAAAGATTGTTTTATAAATATGTGGAGTTGAAACACTGGCAGCATTTAAGGTCTGCTGCTTCTCTCTCTTTTGATCACTCCCAGGATGAACTAATTCTGGATTTTCTCTTGCTAAATTGAACTCAGTTCAATTGGTGGCCATCACTGGCTTCTCTCCTGAGCAAGCAACCAAACCCCTTTTAGGAGTATGAAGGATGATCCTGTAAACAGTGCACTGGATTTGGATGCAGGAGGCCTGGCTTCTGCCCCTCTGCTGTAGGCTTTCCTTGTCAAGTTTTGAGAAAATTAATTAAAGTGTTTCAGTTGATTATCTGTAAAATAGCTACAGAGGTACTTCCCTGATGCTTGCTTTCCATATGTGTATTGCTTCCTCTTAGTAGCATGAATTATCTCTTGTATGCATTTAGTGCAGGGAAGATCTAGTCTCAGGTGATACCCCCAGGTGCTGTGGGCATGCTGGCCAAACTACAGGCTATACTTCCAGCTCAGATTTTGCTGTTATCCCCGTGTGAGTCTACTGAGCTCTTGCCTTGCAGAGCAGGCACAGTCCCTCTGCCCTGGGGTGTGGGCATCTCCTTATGGACACATACCTGACACAACACTTCAAAATGAAGCACGGAAGACTTGGAGCTCTCTTCTCTGAGCAGTGAATTTACTTTGGTGAATGAAAATAAACTTTCAGCCATGTTGAGCTGAAGAGAAATCTGTATTTCAAAAATTAGAGAATGAGTTAGCAGTGACGTGTATCTGTTTTCAGAGAAACTATTGCAGTCCAGATGTTTTTAAGGCTACTTTTCTGGAACTGGCAAATCAGTTCCCCTTTTGAAGGACTAAGCGGAATCTATCAGCTTGTTTCAAATTCCATGGAAGCTGCTCTTGCTGCAGTTGGAAGTGTTGTCTTTTATTATTACCTTTTCAACATGCAGCTGTTGTTGGAAGACTTCAGAAAGACTTGAAGCTTCGATTGCGTCGTATTGTCCTGAATTTAAGATGGGTGAAAAAGATGTCTTGTACTTTATCTTTATTATAGATCTGAACACAGTAAATTAATCTATAACTGCTACTAAAATACAAGTATGGTATTTCAGTTGACCCACTGAAATATTAGCTTTCAATTGCTGAACATGAGCCCTGTAAACAAAGGAAGCTGCTGTTCACCTAAGATAGCGTGTCTGTTATCTTGGATACATGAACATTATTATGTTTGAGGAATTAGCCACTTCTATAAATCTTTTTTCCTTCCCTCCCAGATAGGGCATGTTAAGGTGACCAGAATGTAAGTACTTCCTTGTCTGTAAAAGCACATATATCATCCTACTGATCTTGTTTAGAAGGCATGGGGGAAAATGTCTGTCCAGCCTTATCACAAAAGTAAACATTGAATTTGTCTGGTGGCCACTCAAAGAAAAGGCAGTGTTGTTGGTGCTCTTCAGTTTTGCAGGAGCATGTGTATATGTTATTAAGCTCATAATCACCCATTTATGTCTAAGATTTACAAAATAGTAGTAAGATTGCTTTTGTTCAATAGCATTAGTCTGTCCTTCCAGGTTTGGAAAACAGCACTCCTCTGCTTTTGAGTAAATCTGGAAAATAATACAAAACACCAGTTTCTGGAGAAGCATGGCTGGGAACACTTTTGGGAAGGGCATCACAAGCCTGTTGTTTGAGGTTCTGAATTTAGACTGAACTGCTAGAAGTTTACAGCTCTTAATTTTTGGGCCTGATTTGTTTTATATTGCTTTAAGCACTGGCAGCGAGAAAACGGTGATTAGAGTTCAAGTACTGCTTTTGAATACAAGTTTTCTGAGTGTACTAGGGGGTGGGTATTTGCTTGCTTTTTTCCATGTGGGTTCCTTAGCAAAATGTGTCTTTAATTTAAAACCAGTAACTACTCAAAAAGCAAAATGAGCAACTGATTGACCTAAGAGTATTTAAATTACTACAGATAGCAACAGGCTTTGTTCATTAAGTAAACACAAAATTGTGCCAATGGCACAGATAGGTCCTGCCTGTCTTTCTCACTCAAACAGGCTTCAGCTGGCTTTGAAATGATGAAATGTTTCACCTGCTAGCAGGATCCCTTGCTCTTTTGGCTAAACTGATCTGTAAGCCAGTTAGAAGAGTCCAGTTTTCTTGCTTCAGGGGAAGTTGATCCTAATTTTTTTTTTTCCTGATGAAGATCATGCTTGTTTTCAGCTATCCTGTTTTTATCACCTGTTCCTGTATAGACTAATGAGATGCTTACTGGAGGTAGGACTAAAGTAACCATAGAGGTATAAAGTAGTTATAAGTACTAGCCTTGCTTGGGAGCTGAAATTGATTCTGAGACGAGTATTTATGAGCTTATAGAAATCCTTCCTGATGTAGTTCTGTGTCTTTAAATACCAACCATCTGATGTACTAATGACAATTAGCTTAGTAATGATCCACCATATTATATATGAATAGCGGGAAATAATACTTTTTTGGATTAAACAAATCTGTTTAAGAAAGGTGAGCTTGTACTTGGATCTGAGAGGGGATACACACTTCACTGAGCATCCCAACAGGGAAGGAAGAGCAGCATCCTGTCCTTAAATTCTTTTTTCTCAGTAACTCTTTCTAAGATTCCTAAAGCTACAGTGCGTCCCCTGGGACAAGGTAGGGGTGACTGGCAGCTTTGTAAGAGAAGTTGCCAGTTGAAGGCAGCTGCTGCAAACCTGTAATTCCTGGAATGCAAAGTAGATAGATGCCTATCAGCAATTTGAAGTATACAAAGCAGAAATCACAAGGCTGCTAGCTTTCCTTACCCAGTCAGCATTTCTGCATCCTTAAAACTTTTTCTGTATCTGCTACTTAACTAGGAGGTAGTTAAGTTTTTAATTTTTTAAATGAGACTATTTCCGGTCCGTAAGCTCTTAGCAAGTGTTTGTATATGCATGCTGAAGTAATGCTTTGGATTCCCTGTTTTGAGCAGTACTGTCTCAGTCCATGGGACTAAGCACGTTCTGGACCTGAAATGTATTGGTAAACTGGAGGAATATTTCAAAAACTGTTTGAGTGTCTTATTAACTGGAGTTATTTACCATTTTAACTTGCAGAAGGTCACAACAGACCCATTTCTAGAAATACAGACCACAAGTAATTGTAAAATCCCAGCTAAATGAATTGAACTAATATTAACTAAAAATAATATAGAATTCTACCTCCCAAGAACCCCTTGGGAGAAGCATGGGTAAACAGGTTTTGCAGCGTGCCCCAAATATCAGTGTAACTAACACATGAAGGAAACCAGTCTGAGAGTCCTGGAGAATAGGTACCTCCAGCTTAGAGATGCACAAATCCACTTATTGCATTGAGTTCAGGGGCTCTGATTTCTTGCAGAATGGCAAAGAAAAGTCAATTTCTGTGCCTTGAATAGTAAACCTGCATTTGATGTTTTTCTTAGTCCTGTTGCAGATTAAGAATCCCTGTGTTGGCAAAATGATACACTGCAGTATGTTTTGTGTCAGACACAACAAAGATGATGCCTGCTTTAATTTTCTGGATGGTTCTTTAAATTCTTTCAGCCTACAGAAATAATCCCAAATGGCTAAAATGGCAAAGCATGACAGATTTAGCCCTGAAAATTACCGCCCCATGTGTCTGCTCTGTCATGTTATTGCTCCTGGAGCAAAATCCATAGGACAGTGGTAGTGCTTCCACTGAAGCAGCTGAAATGCAAAGGCTGAGGGCTTGCTCAAGTTGCCAGGGAAGGTGAACTTGCCTTCTGCCACTGCATGCTGACAAAAGAGATGCAAGCACCAATTCCGTCAGGGCCAGAATGAAGGCAGTAATCTCTGGCAAAGAGGAAGAGTGCAGCACTGAAACAGCTTCTGTCCTCATGTCCCTGGTGTAATTAACTCACCTTCATATTTCCTACTGAGGCTGTATAAATTGCAGGATGCTGGCTGTGACTCCTTTGACACGTCTCCCTCCAGGAGGCTTTGTCCTTGCTTCATTATTCCATGAATGTTACGAAGTGCTCCATGTTTTCCAGTCTGCAAAATACCAGACTCTTCAAGCCTGAATGTAACGACCTCACATAATGGAGAGATTCCCGCGCCTCTGTCACAGGGGGGCAGCTCCTTGCCTCCTGCATTTCAAAGGTGTCACTGCAGTTCCTGGGGAGGTACCGTGTGAGCTAGCTTTAAACTCAGCCAGGTAAGCATAAGCAGAGTGCTCAGCAAAACCTGCCTGGGAAGCAGGGTTGCTACATAGGTGGGGTTAGTCCATGATGCCTTGGTACCTCTGCTGTGTTCCCTACTTGCATCTGTTGGACTGCAGTGTGGCCCTGTGTAGCTTGTCAAGCCTGCCTGGAGGATACCTCCACTGCTTATTGTCATCGCATCTGTAGCAACTGCTTCATTTTCTTATACGGAAGAATGATCAGAAAGTAATTATGTATTCTTCGCTGCTTTGTGTTGAAGTTGAAGGTTTGGGTTTTTGTCTCCTTTTGGAAAATTAGTCATCTGTGTTTGCTCTTTATTTCATGTCCCTCTGCCATCTGTTTTAATCTAGCTGATGGGGCTTCTCAGCCAGCCCTCTGGGATGGGGGGAAGGAGGGACAGTGAGAACAGCATAGTCCACAGGATGATGGACTTGCTTACTGAAAACAGTAAGCATGCCTCCCAAATGCAGCTTCAGTTGTTGGGTTACTGGAGAGTGAACCTGTTATGAATTTGATCATTTTGGCAGGAGAAAGGGAAAATTTCAAACCCATATTTGTAATTCTCCAGAGGAGAAGTCAGTGATTTATTTCTATAGTTGATTAGATGAGAGAATTCAATTTCCTCTTATTTGAGGCTGGTCTGAATCCCTAGTCCAGACCTCTCAGGACAGTGGTCTGGAGACCTGCCTCTTATATTGTACATGATGTGGGAGAGCCCCAGAGGACCAGGTCCTGGATAGTAGTGCCTGTGGGAGCTGCTTCCTGCCATCTCTTCTGCTGCTGATGTATCTGTGACAAATTAAGTAGGGTCTGGGCACCCCATCCCCCTGTGTGAGCTCTACATTGAGCAAAATGGTACCTTCATGATGGCAAGTATTCTATACAGACAAAGTCCCTTGTAACCATGTGGTCAACACCCTGTTGTTAGAGGCACATGTGCCTCTAAGGATGGGTGGTTGGGGTCTGAACTTGGACCCTCCATATCAGGAGTGGGCCACTTGCTTCCTATCCCCACTCTTAGGCACCCATCCTTAATTTAGTTTGCATCTAACAGCCTGAAATATTCCATTTAACCAAAAATTTTCTGTATTAGAAAAAGGCATTTAAAATTTTTATTTTAGTTCCGTTGAAGTCAAAGCAAGGCATTTATTTGTTTGTTTTTGTTTCAAGTTTTTCTTCGGATTGGCAGTGAATCAAAGAATTGACTGTTCACCCATCTCTAGATATAATTTGTACAACTAGTTTCATACTGTGCAGGAGTGGCTTGCTTTCATGATTATCAACTAAATTTGTACAGTGAGGTGAAAATGCAGAACAGCTTTGCTTGTATTTCAAAACACTGCCTTTCTGATAAAGGCTTGAAACCTGTAGGAACCACAAAGCAGCACTGGAGCAAGGAGGTTTAGAGGCAGTTTTACTTCCTTTGAACAGTAATGAAACACAGCCTTGTTTCTTCCACTTCCCACTCATCCTTATGCTTTGGGGCCATGTGTTCTTTGCCAGCCCTCTGAAAACACATGCCTGCGCAGTTGTAAGTCATAAACCTTTTTCACTGATACACCTACATCTGAAACTCTATTACAAGGAGTTCAACTTACAGTAAAAAAAAAAAAAAAAAAAAAAAGTGTTTTCTCGTTCATAGGTGTTTTGGTGGAATAGCTCCTCTGTTACCTGACTTCTAACATAATGTGGACACCTTATGTCTTAGTTGCTTGTGAATTGTATCAAATGTGGGTTTTATTATATAATAACTGTGAAAGATTTTATTCAACTGGAAGCAACTACCTTGTTTACTCCTGGGCAGTAACAAAACAGTACTTTCAATGAGTCTGGAAAAGATCTCTATTTCAATCTACAATATGAGAAAACATAATTTTCAAATTATCACTTGGGCCAACAGTAGGGTATTTATTTTTCTGCTGTGTGCTCACCAGGACAGCTTTGAGGGAGAATGGGTCTCAGAAGAGTTTGTTAGAAGAGGAGTGAAGGTGACTTGTCAGTGTGCTCCTCCTCTGCAGCAGGGATTCTGCATGACACAAGAACAGTACAAGTCTGTGGTTAATCACCATTTGGAGAGATGGCAAAATTCACGTAATCTGCAATCTCTGCCTAGTTTCTGGAGACTGATCATTTTTTACAAAGGCTGTCTTACTGCATATTTCCGTGTCTTTCCTCGTACTTATTTTTACAGTGTCATTTGTCTTTACTCCTAATCTGATCATGTCCTAAGGTCTTTCCTTAGGTCTTGTTATCCATATGTGATTTAAAAAACCCTATCAGATAGTAAACTCTGCATTGGGTTTGCACTAAACAGCAGTTCTTTAATGTTTTCTTTATCAGGACTGAGACAATTCAGGCTGTTTCCTCTGAATGATGTGCATGTAGCCCTGGCCAAGAAGTATTTTAAGCAAACCAGACAAAAGCATTCTTAAGGTTGGCGGGTTTGGAAGTGGGAGTAAAACTAAGAGCATCAACTTTCTAGCGGAAGTAGAACTCAAAATGCTTTTTTCCCATCTCCTTGGGAAAGACAGAGAGGAAAGGATTTACATGCTGCCAGAAAAGAAGGCAGAATTTGTTGAAAGCTTTCTCAAAGTGATATATCTGTGGGAAAGGATTTTGTTGTGCAGGGATGTTTGTTTTTTCCTTCAGACGATGCTTTTCTATCAGAGGGTGTGAGGCTGTCTTGCCCTGATAGCTTCCACCAGTGAAAAATGGCAGCTTGAGGAAGAGACCCTGTAAAGGGTATGAGGAAGGGAAGGGAAAGTGCAAGTGCAAGCTCCTGCAGTTTGTCTGGGTGGCAAAGGGACCTGTGCAGAGGGCTGCATGGAGGAGGACATGCCATGGCAGAATGGCACTACAGACCCTGTCCTGTCTGAAATGTTGACAAACTGCTGACCCCCAGGAAGCAGTGAGTGTGGGCTGTGGAGGGTGGTCTTGTCAAGGTCTGTAATGTACAAAGCCTTTGTTGAAACTGCTATGCCAAAGCTTGGTATGGAAAAAGTGAACTTTGAGAGCGCAGGTGGAGCTCTGAACAGGCAGATGGAAGGCTGGGGAAATCTTACTATGTGGATCTGAGATGCTTGCAGAGGAATGCCCTGTATTGAAGCTGTCAGATAAAATTTCAACTTGGGAACCTGCCCAGGAGTCTTCATTTTAGAAGCAGTAACTAAACTGTCCTTGGGTCAGGCTGGGTTAGATCACTGTGGCTGGACTAACGGTGGACTTGAAAACACGCCATGTGGTAGAGTGCCAACCTGCCGATATCTAAGGTGTCAGCCTCCTTTATAAGTAAACAGACACTCCTCTTTGTAGAGTTTGCATAGTGAAAAGGTAGAAGTATAATTATACAGTGAATACTGATGCTTCCTTACTGGCCCTGTGATATTTTAAAGATGTCTCTAGGATTGATTTATTCACCATTGTGTACATGTAGGCTGGGGATTATCTCTCCAAAATCCAGATTCTGTGCCTTCGAACTTAGGTCAGTACTAAAGAGGGCATGACTTTTGCTGTACTCTGCGTGGGGTGCTGCAGTGCTGGTAATGCAAAATATAGAGCCATTCTTGTATGTGCTTTCTCCTGGGTGGAGGCAGAGCATTAATGGGGGCAGGTAACTGGTCAGACTCTCCATGAGCACCACTGGAAACTTTTGTCTAGGGAGTGTGTCTTTCAAAGGGAGAAGGTACCAGATACCTAGGAAGTCCTCATTTGCTGTTCTCGTATGCTTTTCCAGTTGTGTGGAAAAAAAAATAAAATTTAAGGAATTAAATCCTAGCATTGACACAACTTAATATTTTATCCAGAAGAGTTTAGTTCATTCAGTGAATTAGCGTAAGTGCTAATGACAAAAACACATTTGTTCCAGGCCTGTATAAACCGTCTATGTCTGAGATCTGGGATGAAGCTATACTGGCAAAACTTCTCTAGAGCAGATCAGGCTTTAGCTTTCCTCCATTTCACAGTTTCAAAATACTCTGCAGGTCTTGAGTCTTTCTCTCTGCTTCCGTTTATTATTGCATTGCAACATGATCCCCTTTAAAAGTACCAGTATTTGGAAAAATAGGTCCCAGGACGGCCTGCACAAAATCAAGTGTGTGGTGAAGAGAGCTATGGAGAGAGGAGTGTGCATCAGATGGGAAGAGCTGGGAGGAGAACTTGAAGAAGTGAATACCTGGGGAGGCATCCATAGTATTTGATGCATCTATGTCCCAAGCTGCTGCTGAATCGTGTTGACTGTATACAAATACAGTAGTTTCTTTGAAGAGCCTGGATGCCAAATAGCACATCTGTGTGGTGTGGTGGATGTTGGCATTTGGGATTTCTGAGTTGTCTGAGCAAGCCGACGTGTTTACCTGCCTCCGTGCGGGCTGCTGCGGTGAGGATGGGACGGCAGCGAGCTGGAGCAGCTGCTGCTGGGCCCACACCAGCAGCTGCCCTGGAAATGGCTTGTTCATGGTCAGGGACAGGGATCTCTGCACTGCGTTTTGGCAGAGCATGACTCTGCGGTCAGCTAGCATCACAGAAACATTTGGCCTTGGGTATATTTTTAGGGGTGCCACACTTTCAAGAAAGCTTGTAGCAGCCAGGACACTGTTAAAATGTGTCCAAAGCCAGAAGTGAGGAATTAGCTTCACTAGGAAGCTTCCTGGATCTGTCAGGTCTCCTGTTGCAGACTCTGTGATTACTAAATAAGGTCTTAAGCTCTCTAACACTTTGTGAACTCATTTTCATTTCTGATAGGAAAATAACAGACTGTCACACACAACTTTTTTTCCTTTGCATAATTCTGATGAATTTGTGACACTTGACGTACAGCACAGATGACTGCTAGCGACTTCTTAAAATTTAAGCAGATGATTCAGAATTAATTATCAAAAACAACCTTATTGTTGTCCCAGGAATTTAGTGCAGACAGCTATTGTCCAACAAGATTATCCAACTTCAGCTGATCCCCAAAACTTCTCATTGATAAAGCGGCTAAAGAATCTTAAAAATGATAAGCCTAAGAAACTATTGCCAAACAAAACCATGCTTTTTTACTGTTGGGTGGTTTGTTTTTTTTTTTTTCCTTTCCCTTTGAGAATCTATTGCTGTTGGCTTTCTAAGATCTTTTAAAATATAACTGTGATTATGAAAGCCTTCAGCACTGTAGAGAAGTTTATCCTAGGGGCGCTTGTAGACAGCACTTCAGCTCTTTGTCTCCTGTGTAAGAAAAAAGTATGCAGTTTCAGAAGAGGGTTGAGCAAAGCTATTTTTTAGATTTAGATTATACTAGCATAAAGATGCAATAATTCTAGCAGCTGTTTTCTCCTTAAGTTGTATGCTGAGAAAATGGAATTTTTCTTCTTATGATAAGAAAATTTCTTTGTAATCTTGGTGAATACCTGCAATATATTTCACAAGCACTGTTTTAAAAAAGGTGTTTGACACTACTTGCGTGTGACAACATGTAGTATTAATTTTGTGGTGAAGAGAAGCATTAAACTGACTGTATGTAATTGCCAAAATCCACAGAAGGCACATCAGTACTCTGAACTGCTTTAGGAGAGTTCAAAACCCTCCAGTGGATTCTCAGCAATTGTAGGTTGTCTATGGCCCCTGTAGTTTCTGAGAGAGATAAAGATTATAAGATGTGCTTTCACATAATAACATGGTAAAAAACAGGAGTAAAGGACAGAGGCAAATTGTTAATGCACCAATCTTCAGAGACTGGAAGAGGCCAGGAAAATCAAAAGCAAGCTATTGCTTCTGTGTGATCTGGCTTGTTTCTTATGTATGGGAGCAGCATTGTGTGTAGCACTGTTGGAAGTGCTGAATTCCTTTTCCCGGATTGCTTACAGCCCAACTCTCACATTGGGAATTTGGAGGATTTAACTATGGACTGTGGCATGAGAAACAGTTTTTCTACCAGGAGACTGGAGAAGACCAAATTATAATTTTTGAAGCTCTGCTAAAATGCCTTTTCAGTTTTACCCTTTGAATCTGCTGGAATTTATGGAAAAAGGCTTTTAATGGCAATATGCTGTTGACAAGTAATGACTAATACAGTATAGGGTCTCACGTTGTATGCCCTCATGTAGGTACACGTGTATATATTGCATTGTATTTTTGCCCATCATTTCTATGTTTTCTATTTTAAGAAGTCATTATTGGAAACTGTGTTTCCTTAGTGTTCAAAATGAGTCTTTGCTCTTTGAAGCTGAAGAATATTTTAATGTTAACTCTTCTGGAAGGGAGCAATGAACAGATTCAGGCAAGTCTCCACATCTGTATAGTCCCTCATTTCTTTTTCGAATTTCAATTTTTCCCATTTTTAAGCACTAAATGATGATATTACATTATGGGATTCTTTTACCTCTTTGTTTCTTGATTCACAATCTTTAGGATGTAGCTAGGTCATATATATCAAACCTTCTCCCTCATAGTCTCAAGACTTAGAGGCTTTCTTGCAAAGATACAGATCTAGCTACAGGAAGTGACATACACATATATAAAAAAGGTGCTCTCTAATCAGTTGACCTGAGTATCTATGACTTCAAGTAAAACTAGCAAGCCTAAGGAAAATAGCCAAATCACTAGCTGATGACACTAATTTTATATGGCCCATAGCAGTACCTTTATGATATTATATGTAGTAAAGGAAATCCTAAAAAAGACCACCAGGCTCAATCCACTGCAGAATGTAAGGACTGTCTTAAGTATGTAAGTCCTGTGGTGCGTGGGCTCCCTCTCTAATGCTTGAAGATTAAAGTCCTGAATATTGTGCTATGATTTCTTTGGAGTATGCACTTAAAAAAAACAAACAAAAACCCCAAAATGAAACAACTAAACCAGGAGAAGGGAATTTGTGAACAGATAGTGATATCTTGGATAGTGGAGCCTCTTCCTGTCTGATGTGGCTGGGAGCTACTGTAACTTTATGATCATTTATTTATCAATTAGAGAATGCAGCGAGCATAAAAGTGTACTTGGTGAATCTAAAAGTGCACACAAATGAACTTTTGCCTTCCTGTCCCTCCGGAGTTG